CCAGTGTGCATTATCGGACCTGACCCTACTTCCAGAGAGGGTTAAATGCAGGTCTCGGCTTTGGTATGAAAGGGTAAACACAGAATCGTGTCAGGCATGGGTGTCTCTCCTGATGTTACTGGCTTTTAAACTGCGTTGCAACCGACTACCAAACTGGTCTTAAAAAAAAATGGAGAGAGAGAAAACTAATGAAAGAAAGCAAGCATGAGTGTGCACAAAAGAAACTGCAAATGGTGCTTTTTTTCCTCATACCTACTAATGCAGAGAAAGCACCAGAAGAAAATGCAATTCTATGGTTTAGCAGCGATGTGTATTGAACTACTGTTACAGGCCTGATTCTCTGTGACCTGTAGCAGCAGTCTCGCATGAAACCATGACCAGAACGCGCATTCATTATGTGTCAAACATGCATGAAAGTGATGGTGTATTGATAAGAATGAATGTTTCTACTCAGAACCATTTTATTATGTGTATTACACATCCAAAGGCCACATGATTTTCAGAGCTATCCAGAGCATAGATGCTTCTGTCTTGTTAAACATAACCAGTCTGACGGGGTTACTATGGGTTTATTACTGTCTAACGACCCATGATAGCAACAGTCAGGCTTTGGCTTCCTCAGATTTCCCTTTGTTTTCATTGTTTTTCACTACTCAGTATTTGTGATGCATGATTAACAACCTTGTTTTCAGATGTCATGGGGAATACAGTGAACAAACTCTAGTGAACCAAATGAAATTACAAAACAAATCACCCAGATCATTGTTTGTGACATTAATGGTCCTTTCTAGATTCGACCGTGTTTCCATTTCAGAGTAATAGCTGTTGCGACATTTCAGTGGTTGTCCGAGTCAAGTTAAGGAACTTGTATTGCTGATTTAAGTACGTTTTGCAATCAAACATGTCAAGCGTAATTTGGTCGGCTGTATTCTAGCTCCACACCGCCCACTTGAGTACAGCCAAGACAGGTGTCTCAGTATGACACTTCAGCGTAATCCTTTTGTAATCCTCGCCCAAGCTCAGTGCTCAGTTTCTTAATCCCAACTCTAATAAACAAGTTAAAGCTGAAGTTAATGTGTCCAGTAAAAAGTGCAGCAAGTGCCTGTGTGCCACGGGCGAGTTACTGTGTGATCACTGGAGATCCAGGCACAGTTCCCCCTCTGTCAGCACTGTGAGGTATGCTCAACGCCAGTCCGAGATTCATAGGATTTTTCTCTGTTAGTTTGACATTATTCTTGCCAGTGTGGCTTTCTCAAGGAGTTGGCATGGGGTTTCAGTTAAGAGAAGGTTTGCGTGACACTCAGGCATTGTGGTTTTTTGGGGGGAGATTTTTAAAATCCGTTTGTATAGTCTTGCAAGGAGAGAAGAAATCATGGAATTTGGCATCGGGTAGAGCCTTGTGTAATCTGACAAGTTGTGCAGTTGAGTTGCATGTGGTTTTTCAAAACCCCGGACAAGACGTCAAGCATTTCACTGTGTGGGTTTACATTCTGCAGTCCCACAGTGAAAGTCCTTTTGTTCACTCATCCATTGATAGAAGTTGGAAATAGAGCACCACTGTTCATGCACATTGTACACTGGTCCTCTTTTCATTGTGATTCTATTCTAATTATTTTGTACCATGGTTCTTTTATTGTGTAGTGGCATTAGACTGGCGTGTCCCTTCTTTATTTGTGACTAGTGAAATGGAATAATTCTCCTGTCTTTTTAACATGCTTGGTACCAGGATTTTAAGTGGGGGCAGGGGAGTCAAAGCACATCCAGCAAGGTTATACTCAATCTGAAAACGTAAAATAGGGCAGTGAAATTCATCGAGATGATTGGATTCATAGAGATTATTAACCTCGGGAATATAGGATGGAATTGTTCTGTGAATCGCCAGTTTTCAGTGTTTTTTTAAAACAAATAATTGGAGAGTTAGGGTGAACAAAAGGCTTCTGTAACAAGGCTAGCCTATACTTAGAAACCAGTTAAATCCTGGAACCTCAGTCTGCTTTGACCTGTTTGTTACTTTAATTCATTTGTGTTATTTGTCTGCTGTAATTTTAAATTGGGCTTTATAACTCATTACCTGGTTACCAGAAATGCATTTAGTTTCAAGTATGACTAGTAATTCTGTCTTTATTAGTGTCGAGGCTAGAGCTACAACAATTAATTGGTTAATCGAACACTCGATTGACAGAAAATTAATCGATTAATTCTCCGGGTTGTAGCTTCTTAAATGTGAGTATTTACTGGTTGTGTCATCGTAAACTGAACATCTTAAGCTATTGGACTGTTGGTCGGACACTTACACCTGGGTTTATTAATAAACACTGCCCACTACCAGCAATAAAGAAAGAAAGAAAGAAATGAATAGTGTGAATCCGAGCCCACTACCCAACCTATTTAATTAAAGAAAGGAGGCTATTTCCAGGCCATTATTCTGTCACCTAACCTTGTTCACAAATACACCCTTAATGTCAATCCCCAAAAATGTCGACACAAACAGTTTGAGGAGTTGAGTCAATTTTAGAGGAGACTCTGCGTGGACCTGTTTGCACCTTTTCACCGTTTGCTGTCACTCTGAAGGAGAGTTTGATGTGTGGTCTTGTCTGTGGCTCTCTGTGTCTCCATAAGGCCCAGGAACAGTGTGTGGTGACAGCTTGGGTGATTACCTGTCCTGTCTCATTCACTCAGCCGGCCTGCAGCTTGGCCACATCATGCATCAGAAACTGACACACAGTGATTACAATGTCGTTAGGGCTGACTCTCTGTCGCTCTCTGCACACATTAATTTGCTCTTCCTCTGAGCACCGGGAGAAATGGTCTATCCACGCTCATTTCTGTAAACCATGAAATATGAAGCTTCTGTGATGACAAGTCTTGAGCTAATATTAAATTTCATCAGGGACTAATGTTTGGTTTTCAGAGCACTGAGTTCATCACAGATTCAGATTCCTCATTCTGTGATTGATCGGAAATGTCTCACACGGCATAATTCAACGGCGGTATTGCTCTCAAATAATTTGTTTTGTAAATCATGATCTATCACAGTGTTGTTTATGAATCTCAAATAATCAAATACATTTTAAGAAGTATTGTTCACCTTGAGAAAAATGTAATCAAAAATAACAGAGAATCACATATTCTAAAAGTACATCTTGAATGATGAATTAAAATGCTATTGTCTTATCCATCTTCGTGGCAGGTTATTATAGCAAGCCTTTGCTAGACATGTATATGTACGTTGATGTTAATGTGCATACATACATTTTTCCATATATGTATTTTTTTATTTGGAACCAAAATAATGCACAAATCAAAAGTAGGATTCATCATCTGGGAGCCATGAACGTAAACTGTGTGTCCATCGTAGTACATGATGAGATATTTTTTAGGATAAGTAACAAATGTGACCTGCTCGTAGCGCTAGAGAAAAGACCAGAAGATCAGTAAAGACATTAGGATTCCATCAAGTTAAGTTGTACCAACAGTACCAATAGAGATATTACCTACCAACAGGCCAAGCAAAATTAAGCAGTAACTTCGATACATACGGTGATAAGTATTTTTAGTTCTCCACATCATACTCAGTTTGGAACAGTAAGTAGATTAGAGCAATTATTTAAAGGCTGTACAGGCTTATAATCCAATGTGTCAGTTGTTATTTTGTCTTCTAAATCTAATTGGATCCAGCATTGGCAGCATATTCCCGAGCACTGAGTGGTTTATGCCCAATTAATAAATGTGTGTTGTTGGCTGCGGCATGGCATTCCTCCTGCAGTTCATTGCTAATGATTTGGAGCGCTTTAATGTCGACTGCTTTGAATGAAGAGCACTAAGCCTGGTGTCACTGTGGCCCTTAAATCACCATCAGTCTTCCTCTCTCTGTCTCTTTTCCGCCTACACATTTTTCTATCTCCAGTTCTCTTGCACGCTTCCCCTCAGTTGCTCTCATCGCCTCCCTCCCCTCCTGTTCTTTTCATTTTCGTTTTCCATGTAGGCCCACTGTCTCTTCATTGCCGTCACAGTGTGTCAGAACAGGTGGAATCAATTACTGACCTTCAGCGGCTCACTCCCCTACCACAACTAGCTCTTTAATTGAGGGAATTAATGAGTGATCAGCCTGTGAGATGATTCGGTCCCGTGGATCTCGCTCGGCTGTGCGAGGGAGGAAAGCTGGGGGAGGGATTGTTTGACCAATCCTGCATAACTAATTCTGTCCTTCCAGAGAGGCAGTCGAAGCCTGCCTTCCCCACCCGCTAATCACCTCTAAGATTGAGGAAAGACACAGTACTATGTTACAACACTAAGTGCTGCATCGCTCTTACTGATTAAGATTGCTTTCAAGGGCCACTGGCATACAGGATGACTTCCATGTGCACAGCAGTTTGTTAACTTCCCCTCATTGTGGCATCCATTGGCTGTATCTTAACATCTGCTCTGCATGTGTTTATACGAAGGGTGCCCCAATTGATCGGTCACCGATCGTAATCTGCCGATATTCTTCTATAAACAGAGATCAGAAGAGCCGATCAGCTGACACATTTATTCCACAGGAAAGTTATTCAGTTTTTGACACGCATAGATTTACTCGGGTGGGCCGACTGTATATTAATGCTTAACAAGCACAAAGCAGCAACTGTTTTTTGCTTTCGATGTGCGAGTCATGCTGTTGTGAAAACATTCAGAACGTGAGTTTCGTTTCCTGGGTGACTTTATAAAACTTGCTAACTAACAAAGTGTCGGAGCAGACACCTACAGCCTGTATATGGCGAGAGAAGCAGAAAGAGGTCGGGTGGGGCTAGCCGGTGTGTGTGAGACAGAGGTGTAGGTGTGTGTGCACTATAAACAAAGCTTTAAAATAGACCCAGTGATCGGTATCGGCCAATACTACTTCTAGCGATCGGTGATTGGCCTCTAAAACCCTGATCGAAGCACCCTTGGTCTGCACGGTGGTTCTGAAGTGTCTCATGTGTTTCTCTCTCTCTCTCAACCCTTTAATTCTTTCTTCACAGATGGAATCTCCTGTCTCCACGCCAGCCCCTCCTCCCCTCCACCTCCTGGCCACAGTAGGCAACAGTGAGATTGCCTCGCCGTGTGAGCAGATAATGGTGCGCACACGCTCAGTGGCGGTGAACACATCTGATGTGGCCCTGGCTACTGAACCTGAATGTTTGGGGCCCTGCGAGCCTGGTACCAGTGTTAATCTCGAAGGCATCGTGTGGCAGGAAACTGAAGACGGTAAGTGAAGTGGTGTAACATGCTGTCCGGCAGGGCTGAGAATCTTTGAGAGTCATGATTCGACTCAATTCGAAACAGATTTGATTCGTTAAATTGAAAAGAGACTCCATGTTCGAGTTCTTACTCCAGCGCATTTTGTGTAAACATGAAACGTGAAGCTAACTGTCTAAACAAAAGCCTTTTTATTTAAAAATAATGTGATAATAAAACGTGTGGCAAATAATACGAATAATACAAGTGTATTAAATTTAGCTGCAAAAATGGATTACACTTTTAAACTTGAACTGGTCTTCTGAAGTGGATTGCATTATTTTCTTTTTTCCTGAGTTTGTTTGTAGCCATTTTTTAAAGAGGTGCCGTGTGGGAAGAATCGCAATTCTTACGTGAATCGATCCCCCTCCCACCCACTCAGCTAGTCAATCTCCTCCCTGTGAAACAACTGAGTCCTGTATTCTGGCTACAAACAGATGGGATTGTTTGTTTTGTTCTTTTATTTACATAGCCAGTGCGGTTGCATTAATACATAAAAGAGGTATTGGTTTGTCAAGGCTTTAGTCGTTTAAAAAAAAATTATCATGTTGCTGTCATTACCATACATTTTTTTTTTAGCCTGCTAAAAGGTAATTGGATACAGCCTGACTGCCTCAAGAGCTGGTGGTGGTACTAATGTGTGCTTTAACAGCACACATGCTGCATAATATTGCCAACAAGAATAGTAGTTGGCAGGCAGTTCTTAGGTGGCCGTGATTTGTTTTTTTGCTCGGGAGTACGCAGACGGGAGTTATCTGCTCTCGACAACAACATGCCTCATAACACAAAGCACTTTTTTTTTTGCAAGTATGCCAGTTGGGAATAGAGTTGGATCCTCTTCTGTGGTGCAGTCCGAGTGAAATCTTAGACTCTCTCAGTTTTCCTCCGTTTGATCGAAAACCACATTCAGCTTATTTAATTTTAAGATGTATCGCTAGCACTATCAGGTTCAGCTGGGTCTGAAAAACTGCCCCCTTTTTTCTTGTCGTGCATGTGAAATAATGCAAACACCAAATCTTCAAAGCAGCTCGCGCTCAGTTGCTCTGCGGGCATGCTGAGTACAAATCGCCCACACATCCACAGTGCTGCTTGTTGGTTCACTTGGAGGAAACAGAAACAGAAAAAAGGTCCCTGCCTCATCAACATTCCCAAAGCACAGTCCCTGCTATTGAGTGCCTTTTTCCCCCCTCTCTCCCTTTTTTTGATTTTTGCTCCAGCCCTGGGCTGTGTCTGATTCACCCCTGTTCTCTTCTCTTTTGCAACTCTTTTCTGTTACCAAGCATCCAGCCAGTCACCCCTTGACTCTGTTTCCAAGCAAACTGGGAGAGAGCGAATGCAAGGCAGGGGGTTGGGGCAGGGGGGGGTAGATAGACAAGGCTACTTCTGTTAGTGACACAAACATGGCTCAGAGCCAACACCAGTACTATGTTTGTGCTCCCTCATTCTCTGCCTCCCACAGAGTGATTGACCCTCCCCCTCGCCCTGCCCCCTTCCCTTTCCCCGTCCAAGTCTGTCCCTTGCCTGCACTCACTCACTCAAAGCTGCTATTTTGGCTGAAAAGGTAGTGGTTTGGCCTGATGGGGCTCTGTTTTCTTCGGATTCTACTCTATCTGGCTCAGTGGGGAAGGAGCTGGTGGGAGCTTTTGAGTGGTTATAAAAGTGGTATGGTGGAGAGGGGAGGCGGGGGGGTATGTGTTGATGTGAGGAGGAGGAGGGGTGGGAGGCATTTTGCAGGTGTAAGGCACAGGTTGTTTTGGCCATCTGAGCTGTAAGACCAGTAGGGTTTCCAGAAACCAACACACTGCGTTCTCTTTGAAGCCTGTTTTTTTTTTTTTTTTTTTTTTTTTTTCTCACACAAAGCCTCTATCAGGGTAGAGAGTCATATGAGAAAGGATGTAGAAGAGATATATTTAATAACAGCAACCACGAAGAGACCCTCAGTCGTCTGACACCACTGCTTGCTCATTGCCTACAAAATCAGCTACAGTTATATGTATTAATAGAAATCTGTTGTAGCTTAAATGTGCGCTGTTCAGGAATCCTCACCAGATATGTAAATATCAGTTCTAGCTGTCATAAACCGCCATCAGTGTAGCTCTTTTAAAACGTATAGATGGAAACTGTAGTGAGTTTCTAAGGAGGCGTTTCACAATAGCCTCCATTGTATTACATTTTGCACACTACATTAAACAACACAAAGATGTGTATTCCTTCTACATCATTTTAATGGTACAAGCCCCTAACAACCCACTGGCTAGTTTTAAAATGAAAGAGACCCAGATGCCGCTTACTTCAAGCTGCACTGCCATTCTGCTGTTTTTTTCCTAAGAGACCTATGAAAGCAGACTTCTCTCATTGTGGGGCAACTGAGCAAATGAAAACCAAATGAGGAAATCAAGCAAATCCAGGCAGAATACCAGGGAAGAGCAACAAACAGAGGCCCCAAAGACATAGCAGAGGCATCCTGATTAGCAGTGAAGTTAAGCAGTCCCCCACTTCTCTGCATGACAAGTCTCATACAGAGCTGTTTAGGCATTCACTGTGTGTGTGTGTGTGTGTGTGTGTGTGTGTGTGTGTGTGTGTGTGTGTGTCTGTGTGTGTGTGTGCGTTTCATTTAGCATGCCAACCAACAGCTGCTTCATCACCTCCGCCTTTCGGCCTTGTGGGAGTAAATGAACAACAGGCTCTCAGTAATTGTCTGTGCCTCACCCGACTCCCCGAGTGCCAGAGAAAGAAACAGATGAGGAGGAAGCAAGCGACACCTAACACAATACGATCACAGAAGCTGCACCTTCGGTCAGAGCCGACAAGAATCTTGGCTGATGAGGCCGAATAAATTTTTCATCCTGTGTAATTTGAGCACAGATGCAGCGACCCTGTTTACATCGACTCTGCATGCTGGCAAGGTTTAAATAACAGCAACTGAATGTATACCTCGATTGCTGAATTAACAAAACAGCCCTTAAAAATGAAAAAACGCACAATTTGATGCATTTAATCCGGTGTAGGAGGAAATAACAGATAATATGAGGTGAGGGGAAGAGAGAGCTTGTGTCATTCAGTTGGTCTGGGGGCGAGTGAAGCGTAGACAGGAGGAAGGGGAGGTGGGGATATGGGGTGGTTGGTTGGGGGGGGCAGAGCCGTGGTATTTTAAGGCCCGGCACTGACACAAATCCCCTCAGCGCAGACGAGGCAGTGGCAGCTCCCAGGGTCGTGTCGGCAGAGCGATGGGCCAACCCCTCCCAGGCTTAGCATGCTGATACCTCCAAATGTCATCTCTAAAATGCTGGAGAAGTTTATTGCTCTTGAAACGCAGCCCAGAACGCCTTGGCTCATGCTCCAGGGTAGAGGGAACACAGAGGGGGCCCCTTTGGCCAAACACTGCAGCTCCATGCCAGTGCCCCAAACCCCCCGCCCCCCCCCCCTCAGCCTCTCTCACACACACACCCCGACCCTCCAGTACACAGCAGACTATTCCCCAAGCAGGTCCCACAGCTTCTTAAGCTCCCTAATAGATAAATAATACAGGCTGTTTGTGATAAAATGTTTGTTTCATGGCTTATTTATGCAACACACATTAAATTATTGTATCATTGGAAGCATTGGCTTTAGCGCCGGAGTTAAAAGCTGTTTGGCATCTGAATAGAAGAGAGGTCAGTGTGAATCGGATATTCCTGTATAAACATTTGAGAGATGTTTCTTTTTTCTTTTTCTTTTTCTTTTCTCCTTCTCTGCTCCTGTCAGTGAGTTGAGAAGGGGAATATTGTATGAAAGGAGCACTTGGCTCTGTAGCTCACTTGCCAGCTATGCTTCCTTGCTCTTTTGAAGACCACCTGTCAGTGGCCTCATTGAAATGTTTTTACAAAGGCAAGCGATGGCTGCTCTCTGTGAACTCGCCATAGAAACCGTCCTTGAAATAAGAGTGAGCATTCTCAGGAGGCCTGTAGCCCTCTGCCAGGCCAATGAGCAAGAAGAAGATGGAGTGAGAAATCAATCACAGGAGACCCAACTTCAGTTAACAGTAGAGGACGTATTGAAAAGAAAAGAACAAAAGTGATATGCCTTTTTTTTTTGTCTATAGCCTGTAGGTTTTCATTCACCAGTTCCTCGGCCATTTTTACCCTCATCACTGCTCACTATGCAAGAGTGGAAGTGACCAATGTCCAGGGGGAAAAAAACCCTCTCATGTAAAGAGTTCACCAGAATATGTGTGTGAAAAAATACTCTGTAAGGATATGAGGATATAGACGAGTCACCATTCTTTGAGGGAGGAGCCTTGTCTTGTTAGTCACAAATTCAGTCTCCGGGTTATGTTACCAAGATGGCGCCCGAGTGAACCCAAATCTCTTAAGAGAGATTTTGTTCCTATTCATATTGGCCGACAACTGCATTTTTTCAAGCACTTAAATGGTCTTGAAACGTAAATCATATGCCTGGAGGAATTGTAGGCTTTGCCAGTGGTTGTCATAAGATATCACGTTTGCTCTATACACTTCAACGAGAGTTTGAGTAATGCGCCTTTGGCAGACCTGTCTCTTAATCTCAGCACCATCTCCTTGAAGGAAAAACACCAGAGGGTTTGTTTTAACAGAGATATTGTAGATTTACCCAGTTGACATTTAAGGAAACAGCTCTTTGCCTCACTACAAGTTATTTACAGTTATAAATACATGTAAAGTTGGTAGCAAAGCCAAAAAATTATATTTTTTTGGCAGTTACATTTATTACACGTGTTTTGTGATCTATTCCCGCTGTAGGAGTAAACATGTACTGATTTAGTTTTTTATTTGTGGAGGGAGAAACTGCTGCATGCGGCTGATAATGCTGCGACGATGTGGAAAGCATACTAATGCTCCCTTCCTTTGCCTCTCAGTGGTATGAGAGAATTGACCTTCTCACAGGCTGTTATTCTTGTCAGCGAGAGTGACTTCGCACTTTTACCTCTTATGAACCGGAATGCAACCTGAACT